TGCAAATTTCATCGTTCAAAAAATTCGTTCAGACCGATCATCTTTTTTCTCGTCCGTGAGTCTCCTGCAAACAATCCTGTCGGAAGTAAAAATAAAGCCGAGCGTTAGAATTTCTCTGGCCACGGGCAATGAGTGGTCGAGTCTGAGCGCTGGAACCACCTTTATCAAGATCGAGACTGCATAAATTAGCTCTAGAGAAATAGGATTTTCCACGTGAAAGAGAATCGGTAAACTTCCCAGAGCTTGGCGCATGCTTATGTATGATTCATAAATAGTGTATATAGTATACGTGTATACAGTATCTCTACTTCGACTCGCGTATTATTTTCATAATGTAATAGTAATTTCCGTGACAGAAGTAATAATTATAAATCGTTTGCAAAAAAGCATTCCATTTACATTGCAATGTGCAGGGCTCGCATAATGTATCGTTTTAATAATAAATATAAGAAGAAGAGTCACTGATAAATAGTTTTAGTATTTACTGATAGATTATCGACGTACTAGGACCTTTAATCTCTTCTTCTATTAGATAAAATCGATGATAGAAAAAAATGTGGCTTGCTTGCGTGTTTGTGAACGAAGTTTCATGAGGTCGTGAAAAGTTCCTTATTCGCGGACGTGCGAGAACTGACCAACGTGCAGCGTCCGCGAGCTTCCACATGTGAATTTCTTATTGGAGAAAGACAATTTCTCTTGCAGCAGTTCGGGGCTTATGGCCGCGAGCCAATCGACAGGTTCTCGTGAGAGGAAAAGTTTAATGTTTGTAGTTTCCCAAGATGGGATGCTAATAAAAAATTATGCAGAAAAATTGATGCCACCTCTCGAAAACCTTTTGGTCTCGTTTCTCCGCAGCCAGGTTTTTTCCCAAATAGAAACAGATAGAATATTCTCATACAGAATATCAATATAGAAAAGAAAAGAATATCTAATTGAACGTCTAATATTAAGTAGCTATGAGTTTTAACAATTCATTTACTCCATTTTTTATGTCTATACATTTAATAATGTGAGAAGACCAAAATTGTTAGTCTCGTTTCAAGTTTTCTACTTTAGAAAAGCGCATGCTTCGAAAAAAATGGTGTAATCATTATAAAGCATTATTTAAGATAAAGCGTTTAAATTGTTCGAGTTAATCGCGAATTATAAGATCTTATGGACATTATAGAAATTACAGGGAGAAACCGTTGGTCCCCTTTCTTCGCGGGAACCTCTTATTCGAGCCCCGTCGTTCTCGCATTAGTGGATTAATTTATTTGGATAGATGAATCGTTGGCCGGGGCATTACGACCGCCGGTTACAGACGTGTTCGCGTGTTTCCGGCAGAGGAGGGAGATGAACCGATATAAATTCGTACCGGTGGAACAAGTAATAACGCGTTTCGACCTTTCAATTAAAAGACGGAGCCAACGCAAATTGCCGACCTTGCGGTCCGACGGCCTTTTAAATTTCCCCGCTGCCATTTAAAACCCTGCTTAAACTGTTACCTTTTCTACCCACCGGGTGGAACCATCTGGCGAAATAATTAAAGGAGGATCGCATAAACCGCGCATTATGCCGCGACTTCGTTCCCGGTCTCTCTCCCTTTCTGTGCAACTTCTCCGGTTTCTTGCTCGTTCATTCGTTTCTGTCGGTTGCAACGAGCGCATTCGACTATCTAATAAAAACAATTTCACGGGACGATGCGATTCCGTTATTACGAGCTGCACTTTCTTCTTTTTTTTTGTGAACTAAATACGTACCTCCTTACGGCCACGCGGAGTTCCTTCCACGAAAATGCAATCAGACCTATGTAATTTTATTAAATATCTCTCTAGATTCAGAACGGTCTAACATATTTTACTTACTAAGATTCATGGACTAGTGGTTTTCAAGATTTTAAATTCTCTCATTTCATACAATTTTCTCCCTGTTTAAACAGGACCGTTTCTTTGCTCTTCCAATCCAACTACTTCGAGGCCAACGTTATTTAAATAGAGGGAATGAAAAATTTCCTACAAATCAGCAATAAGAAGGAACGAACGGTAGAATGGGATGAATATATCTGGCCGTCGTGCGAGTAGAATAATTCGAAAGATATCGAGGACCCCGAAGTTCGCTGATCGAAACCCAGCTACGTCGATCGGTTCCGTGAACTTCCTGGAGATATATTCTTTAATGGCGCGAAAGGAGATTTTCTTCGTGGGGGCGAGCCACGGGGCGCCCTGTACCCGCTGCCTTCGACACCCTCACGTGCATGAATTTGCAATCGCGCGTGCACTGATAACGTGCGATTCACTGAATCGTCCGTGATTACGATGAAACTGGAACGCGCACCTGACGCCGTTCGCTGCCTACCACCCTCCCTCCCGTACCCCGATTACTCGAGGAACGACTTTTACTTCGTGAATAATAACGATTCGACTTCGAGACCGCGAACGTGCTCGAAATGTAATCCCTCCTTTGACCCGTAGTAGAGAATTCGTACCTCGATAAAGTCCTTTCTTTTAAAAATGACCTCGAAGGAGTTATTAGATGCAAATAATTATTCGATACTTCAATTATTATAGCTCATCAGCTGTACGAATCGTAATGTTTCATATGAAAACCAGTGTAACTAATTAAATATTATAATAGCATAAATTATATTTGGCCTGGAAAGATGATAAATAATTTATTCGTGACTTGAATCTCGTCATGTCATGTTGATTAAAGTTTACAATAGATTTTCGAATTATTAAAGGTTTGGAAGGAGAGTTAGGTTCGTTGGAATCACGTACAAAATTGAATCACTACATGCGCATCTACGTACAACGAGAAGCGTATATATCCCGAGAATAACTGCATTCTCATCTAAAGTCTGGTTCATTTTCTTCTGCGGCAACATCAGAATAGTATTACCAAGCAGCTGACGATGCAACAAGAAGAAAATCTACGGTTCCTGATTAGCATTGCGAACTCCTTGTTTCAAATCTGCTCGAATCTCCAAATAAAATATGCACGCGGAACGCATGCGGAACGTACAAATTCAATATTACGTTTTCGCGCTGTATATACAAACCTGAACGAATTTATCTGCGCTTGTACATTCGTAATCAAATATCTTGGATGATACATGTATTAATTTTACATATATTTGAGATTGTAACACATTATGTGATATGTTTCATAAAAATTTTCGTTTAAAAATAGAGAATTATTTTAAAATCGATTTTCGGATTTTCTCGTATTACGAGATACTCAATAATCTCACTGAAACGTGACAAAGTGACAGAATGCAGCATATTTATAACGGATATTGCGTTTTTCGACGTGCGAATTGCCGGGCGAAATACAGGTTCCTGGAAAATCGAATTTTGTCAATGAAAGGCGACATCGCCATAAAATTGCACCGGGATTTGGGGAAAAAGCACGTACTTTACACACAGCTTCAATTTCATATTTTTCATCTGTATTCCTTTTAACAATTCGACGTGTACAATACTGTGGATTATATGATTCAATTCTATACTATAGCGATAAAAATTAGTTCTATTAATTAAAGTCGGTGATGAAAAATTATAAAATGCTACAGAATGAGATGGATAGATACGAACTAAATTAGTTCATTTGATTCAGGGGTTTATGGCGCACTCCCTATTTAGCAAATCCCAATGTTAATTAAGCAAACTCGATTATCGTGAATACACAGTTTATCCACTTACTTAAACGACCGCACAGGTGCATCGCGTATTTGTTTATGGCGTGGGCGCCCGTGCGATTGGCACATCGAACGCATCCGTATGTCGCGTCGCCCCGTGTCGTGTTCACTAGGTGGAACCGTCGCTAAATATGACCGACGCGTTGACATTTGCAAAATCATAGACGATAATTAATTGTCAGTCCATCAGGCGAAACGAAAACGAACGACCCGGGCATTTTGATGATTCCCGCTGAATTATACGTTTGTCAGTTTGACGGGGCCTGTCAGCTGACTGGTGGAAGATATAATCGGTTGGAAATAAGTCAAAATATTTTAAGCAAGCAGCATTTAATAGTGTCCGATCGACGAACAATAATCTGAACAATGCAATTAATTATAATTACTTTTAGGAGAAGGTAGCTTCTTTTTAGAGAAGAAATAACCTGCGACTATAATGTTCGACTTCTGCTCTCTCGTTTACATTAATTTTCTTCTGACACCAGTATTCTTCATTTTTTACAAATCCCTTAAATTTTGTGCTCGTAAATATTACTTGGAAATTTTTGATTACCCTCATTTGAAAGTAACAGATGATGTAGTAATATTTATGAGCTTTCTACTGTAATCAGTATATATATATATATATCCAATTTACGAACGACCTGTTTCATTGAAATACTGCAGTGGAATCGAGAGCAATTATTTCCATAATGAAGTACAAATAAGATCCAAATAAAAAAAACTGAATTACGTCCATCAGTCGATCGGAATATTTTCTGAAAGATTTTACGAACGAATAATTTCCCTCGATTACCAGTTACCACAACATATTGATCAAATCTCACAACCTTCTGATATGGCAGAATTTTTACAGCATCCCGTAGCACACACTGGACCCGTTGCTCGACAGAAAAAAGAAACACGAAGAGACTCTCCACCCCTTGTCCCTCTCTGCACCACACAGAACCAACTTGCTCTTGCAAGCGCTTTAATCTATGCAATCAACGTTTCGCTAACGTTCGTGCGCTCACGCAAATTCGCTTCCCGCAATATTTCTCTAAGAATTGAGCGAGGAATCGAATCAGCGAGGGGCGGCGGCGGCGGCCGGAGCGGAACGGAGCCGTCACGGACGAACGTGAGAAAAACGTGAAACGAAGAGATTAAAATTATCGAAGCGCGGCCGATTTTCCCTGTCAGCCACGATGAACGAACAGACCTTTTCTTTTATCACAGCAGCGTCTCTTACAGCGAACAACCTAATTACAAGTTTACCTTTTTTCTGTTTTCTGTTCGCTTCTTATGTTACGGACCAACCCTGGTTTCTGGTTTCTCTGTGCAGTCCTTCAAGGTAATTCGCCGCCAGCTTTTTCTCTAGTTTTCTTCTACCACTTCTCTCTCTCTCTCTCTCTCTCTCTCTCTCTCTCTCTCTATATCAATCAATCACTTTCTTTCACCCTCTCGATATTTACATTTACATGTACATATATATATTTATATATAAATATTTTTTATTCATTACACTACAATATTAATCGCTGTACATGTGTCATATTCGCATTACATGAATTATCTCTCTCTCTCTCTCTCTCTCTCTCTCTCTCTATCTCTCTTCTTTGCTCTCTAATTTCACCGCTCTTCTAATTCATTCCGTCTGCTTCTGTTCATGTCCCACTATTCTTTGTCATACTTCTTTCTATCGTGAGGCGCAACATTTTCTCGTTCACCCTCGGTTTCTATTCCATTTTAGTGCATCCGCTTTCACACACGAGTACACAGAGCCATGGACACGCGCGTGTCTTTGGGGCATCCTAATCGATTACATATTATCGGAGAACGAAAAAAGGTCCTATAGAATTATCTTTCTACAAAAACATCCATAATAGAAACAATGTTTATATTGAAGTACGTTTATTAATAGATTTGCTCTTTTCTTTATTTTTTATAGTAATATGTATATTTGGAAACTTTTTTATTAAAATATTAAATCTAATGGAGCTAATTAGAATTTCTTCCTACACTATGTACATCAAGTAAATAGATAATAAGTTCGATGGGTTCTAATATTATTTTTAGAGCTATATTTTGATTACCCTCATTTGAAAGTAACAGATGATGTAGTAATATTTATGAGCTTTCTACTGTAATCAGTATATATATATATATCCAATTTACGAACGACCTGTTTCATTGAAATACTGCAGTGGAATCGAGAGCAATTATTTCCATAATGAAGTACAAATAAGATCCAAATAAAAAAAACTGAATTACGTCCATCAGTCGATCGGAATATTTTCTGAAAGATTTTACGAACGAATAATTTCCCTCGATTACCAGTTACCACAACATATTGATCAAATCTCACAACCTTCTGATATGGCAGAATTTTTACAGCATCCCGTAGCACACACTGGACCCGTTGCTCGACAGAAAAAAGAAACACGAAGAGACTCTCCACCCCTTGTCCCTCTCTGCACCACACAGAACCAACTTGCTCTTGCAAGCGCTTTAATCTATGCAATCAACGTTTCGCTAACGTTCGTGCGCTCACGCAAATTCGCTTCCCGCAATATTTCTCTAAGAATTGAGCGAGGAATCGAATCAGCGAGGGGCGGCGGCGGCGGCCGGAGCGGAACGGAGCCGTCACGGACGAACGTGAGAAAAACGTGAAACGAAGAGATTAAAATTATCGAAGCGCGGCCGATTTTCCCTGTCAGCCACGATGAACGAACAGACCTTTTCTTTTATCACAGCAGCGTCTCTTACAGCGAACAACCTAATTACAAGTTTACCTTTTTTCTGTTTTCTGTTCGCTTCTTATGTTACGGACCAACCCTGGTTTCTGGTTTCTCTGTGCAGTCCTTCAAGGTAATTCGCCGCCAGCTTTTTCTCTAGTTTTCTTCTACCACTTCTCTCTCTCTCTCTCTCTCTCTCTCTATATCAATCAATCACTTTCTTTCACCCTCTCGATATTTACATTTACATGTACATATATATATTTATATATAAATATTTTTTATTCATTACACTACAATATTAATCGCTGTACATGTGTCATATTCGCATTACATGAATTATCTCTCTCTCTCTCTCTCTCTCTCTCTCTCTCTATCTCTCTTCTTTGCTCTCTAATTTCACCGCTCTTCTAATTCATTCCGTCTGCTTCTGTTCATGTCCCACTATTCTTTGTCATACTTCTTTCTATCGTGAGGCGCAACATTTTCTCGTTCACCCTCGGTTTCTATTCCATTTTAGTGCATCCGCTTTCACACACGAGTACACAGAGCCATGGACACGCGCGTGTCTTTGGGGCATCCTAATCGATTACATATTATCGGAGAACGAAAAAAGGTCCTATAGAATTATCTTTCTACAAAAACATCCATAATAGAAACAATGTTTATATTGAAGTACGTTTATTAATAGATTTGCTCTTTTCTTTATTTTTTATAGTAATATGTATATTTGGAAACTTTTTTATTAAAATATTAAATCTAATGGAGCTAATTAGAATTTCTTCCTACACTATGTACATCAAGTAAATAGATAATAAGTTCGGTGGGTTCTAATATTATTTTTAGAGCTATATTTTTAGAAGAAGACTGACAAGGTGTATGTACTGTCTTTATTCAGAAGACATATGTGAAAAATTAATTGAAGCATAATTAAAATCTCTAAGAATAAAAGCTTGGATCTATTCGTCATTACTTTATTCAAAGATTTTAAGATTAACTGTTACCAAAATATGTACCATTTTTCGGTCTCCGAATATAATTTATCGAGAGTATCACGAGCGTACTTACATACATGGCACGCCACTTACATAGAAATTGACATACATATAAGTCGCTTAGGACCTCACTTTTCATTAATTCCGTAAATCTAGTAAGTCGTACACATTTAGTGATTAACTTCTCAGGAACCGAACGATCCATTTGGACGACGCTGATCAGTTCGGTTTCTGCGTAGCTTAGCGTGCATTTCATTTTTTCCCCACGCTACTTCTTAATCAGTGATTGAACAGAAGCCTGATTTACATTACTTAAGTAATAGACTTGGAGATATTTCGTTTAAGAACGAATTTGAAAGAAATTTTCAGGACAATTGCAAGATTGTTTTGAATCGCAAGGACTATTTGCGTTCGTCATTGCCTGGAACAATTCTGAAATTGAACTGAAAAATGTTTAAATCTATTTCTGCAGAAAGTATTCCTATACCTTTTTTCCTGTGTTAAGTATAGTAAGAGATGAATGAATTAAGCCAAGTTGTTATTAATACTCATTCCATTTTATCGTTACCTCTGTTTGTAAAACTACTAACATGATGAGCAACAGAATAATTAATGCATCGTCTTATTTGCTCAATGTGTCTTGGTTCTCGTAGACTTATTTAATACTCGTCTCTCTACTATAATCGTTTACTCAATTAATGTAAACTGGGCTGTAAAGACAAGAAGCAGACGCTTGCTCCTGGCCGATTGGTATCGATTTCCAGAGACGCGTATGTACATGTGTACTATGTAGCACACGCGGAACGACGGCGGCCACGCACGAGCGTGTGTGCTGATTTTGCATTTCATAGCCGGTGTTTTTATGCAACCCATCGCCTCTCTTTTTCACCTTTCGCCACCCGCGCGCATCGGCCTCGTTCTACACAATACACAGTGTGTTCGTTCTTTTTGCCCGTCACGCTCGGCCAGAATCGCGCTTTTTTCGCTCCCTTTTTTCCGCGTCGCCAACGCCAATGCAACTTTTCCGGTCGTTTTTTTCCTCGCGCGTTCACCATGCAAATCGAACGTTCATGGTGTACTTTCTCGTTTTTTTAGTTTCCTTTCGTTTTCTCCTATTATTTGTTTGTAGACGGATGTATCGTCACGATCGGTACTTGAGCCTGTGGTGATCTTTGAGTTACATCTCCTCTTTTTTTACCGTAGCGAAATTTTCCCTTGCTTTGGGAATTCGACATTGGAAATATGACTATGTCAACGATTTAGACGATATAGATGTTAGCGATTTGAACAGAAGCTTAATTGAATATGAGAAAATGAAAAATTAAATAACAATACTTTTATAAAAGTTCTTTATAACAACTTTTAGTGACAGTAAATTATTTCCGGAATAATCGAACTCAAACAAGAATTCCTAAGAAAAATTGGACAGGAAATTTTCTGCTGACGGGGACAATTCGAATGTCCAAGCCACGGGTTTTAAAATTGGGCGAGAACTTTTCCTGTCCCGTTTCAATTGCCTATCGGAACTAGTTTAGAATGCGAAAGAACGGAAAGTTGCTCGCGGCTTCCGCGCGTCTTTCGTTTCCGCTGTACCTAAATGGATATCGCACGGCTAGGCGTTCCGTACGTGGAAAATCGTGGATGCGAGCCGTATGCACGTCCCATGCACCATCGCACACCGGCTGATCCTTTCGCTTCCCGTGCACACCAGCCTCTCTTTCTTTTCGACCCGTCACACTCGCCTTTCCCGTATGTTCAGTGTGCCCGACCTGTAAACGTGTTGCCATTTAAGAAAATGCACCGAAACTGACGGATAGAATCGTCTTTTATGCAAATTCGGTCATAAATTAAATCTGGATACCAGAGATAAAATGTCAAGCTGAGATTTAAAAATAATACTAAGATAGTGTAATAAAAAAATCATGTTCAACTTTTACTTGTTTCATTGTACAGCTTCGAATTGACTAAAAATTATTAACAAACATTAATACGATTTGCAATTGCTTCATAGATTATAAATTGACAAACTATCTCTCAATTGCATAGCAAATCCATTGGCGAAGGTGTAAATATGGCTGTAAATATGCAAGGGGCATATGATTTTGTGGAATGTACACGTTTGAATTTATTCGTCGTTTCATGCTAATTTCGATGCATGCCTGCTACCGCCCCGTGCTCATGCACACGCATGTACTACGTTCCATACAATACATGCACACGATTGATGTTTTTGGCGAACTAGAGAAACACCAAGTTCAGATTTATACGTAATGAATGGAATAAGGATAATTCTATGTTATTTGTGTCTTGCAATTTTTAAAACAGTAGTTCAGCGAATCTTAGCGAAGGAATTAAAAAGGAATATGAAATGTTAGGCTTGGAGACTTATTTTTTATAAGAATAAACTGAATATGAAATAGATCAGATTTATAAATGAAGCCTGACGTTCTCAGTGAAGAATTACTTCAATTTTCAGTTTTATATCATCATAACAATATCGAATGGGAAGAGGAACAATAAAACGATGAACGAATTCATAAAATTTCCGTATAAAATATATAAAGAAATCCTTATTACGCAATTCAAGTGCGTCGTATGTGAGAACAATATCGAGCGGTCCA